GCAGTGGCCTCCTCTCCAGCATTTTCAAATAATACAACCTTTCCAGCAAAAGCCTAAAGCTGTCTCTAGGAAGGTGTTAACACAGATTCAAAACTTGGATTTGGGACCAAATAGGTTGTTGAGGCTTTAACCAGAATTGGAGAATTCACAAGAAAAAAAATCCTGAAGCAACACTGGGCAGCACCTGGGAAATAAAGCTTATTTGATTAAAGCCACATAATATTAATCACTGCATAGTACACTTTAATCTTTTTATTATGCATCAGCTGTTTTCTTAGACCATGTAAAATGTATCTTCACTTGCTTTTCAATATAATCTACATATATTTTAGAGTGTATATGTGCGTGTGTATCTATGTATCCATCTGTTTAAGAATTCCTCTGAAAAGTTAAGAAAAGGGGCCACCAAATTCGGTATGCAGCTTCCTCTTAAAGCAAGGACAGTGTTTGCTTAAATTAGTAACCACTAAATGAGTTGTGTTATGATTTCAGGATAACTTTTAAATGTTCCATAAGGCCCTACTAATGCTGCTGTCTTAAAAAGACCAATATAAAATTCTGATGTGTTAGTGCAAGGGTAGGGAACCTCTTTTGGGTCAGTGGCTGCTAACCCACAGAAAAATCAGTCGGGGGCCACACACAAAAAACCCTCACTAACGTGGTACCCAACTAAGAAACAGACACTCCTCACTATGGTGGTGTAGCAAGGGGCCTGGCGCACCAGCACAGGCTCCCTTGTGCAGGGGGGACATGAGCTTCGGGGGCCAGATCCAGGCAAGCCAGCGCCCACATCTGGCCCCTGGGCCTGAGGTTCCCTACCCGGTGTTAGCAGATGGTCTTGTAGAACACTGTGTTTCTTCCTGTTGCAACTAATGTGCAAGAACTATTAGGCACCTCATTCTGCTATAGTTTACCAAAACCAAAGCTTTCTGCCAACTTCAGTTCACTGTGAGTGTTGAGTACATAACCTCTGACAACATCAGGGCTTATATAACATACTAGAAATGTCAAATTTTTATTAATCAGCTAATCAAGTAGTTGGTGGAATTTCCATCAACTACTTGATTAGTCAATAAGGAGGAGGGGGACTGCTCGCTATCCCTGCTGTGCCTCTGCCTTTGAAATGTAGAGCTGCGGGCAGCCCTTATAATAATTCAGAGGCACAGTGGGGATAATGAGCACCCTCTCTCCCCCTTATCGACTAATTGAGTAGTCCATGTCCATCTATCTCCCTCCCTCCCCCCAGGACCAACTCCTGCTCTCCCCCCTCCCCCCATCTCTGATATAGACTACTCTTTTACATCCCTGTATCAAAACCAAATTTAACCAATCTGAAATCAAGTATTTTTATACCCTTTCCAAATAAAAGTTGATATATTGATACCAAATACCATACACATGGACTGATAAAAGGCAGACACATGAGTTTGTTAGTTATTTGAACTGTTGAACAACACAAAAAGTTCTCTACTCAGCTCTAGTTTCCATAACTGTCTGTAAATTGGTGATAACATTCTAATTCTGTTGTATCTAGAAATGTTCTAGATGCTTCTTGCAAGCATTTTTGTGGTATCTGGATTCCTGCAAACTTTACTAGGTGTCTTTTTACTCTCTGAGCATTTTTTAGGGCTGTGGTGTCCAACACGCTAGCCACATGTGATTATTTGACCAGTTGAGTGTAGCTAGTTGGCATGAACACTACAAACTCAAAGGCTGTCTAGACTGGCCAGTTTTTCCGGAAAATCAGCCGCTTTTCCAGAAAAACTTGCCAGCTGTCTACACTGGCCACTTGAATTTCG